GGTTGAAGAGGATCTTAAGTTTGAAGAACGCATTAATGCAGCGCCCTCTCGGGAATGCTCAGAAATTCCCCTGGAAGGGTATAATGTCGTCGTTGAATTAGGACGCGCAAGTGACATCGTTCTCACAGCCACCGAACTCTCCCTGCCTGTCGGTTTTGTAAACTCTGATATAAAACTCTCCCCTCCTTCTTTCCCTCTCCTTCTCCGTCAATCAACGTTCGATTCTCTTCGTTCGTATTAAAGAGTAATTGGTAATCGAGAGAATTCGAAGAAAAAAAAAGGAAAATAATCGCGTGAATAAATCGAATCGAACTCGAAAGGACCGAGGATATTTTTACAATTTTTTTCTTTTATTAATTTTATCACCAATCCCATTTGCGTAATTGGTATTGGTCAGCAAGGATTACAAGGTTAATTATGCCGCTTGATTCGTATTAAATTGCACGCCGTACGCTACGTGTGCATAGGTGTTATAATTAGGGCCGTGTGGGATACACGTTCTATTTCAATGGATGATGGAATATATGGAGGATAAAGCGGAGAATATTCGCGCTCTGTTTGAATAATAGAAGATTCTAGCGTATAAATACAACTTAAACTTTGACCATCGCGTTTCCCAAAGTGTCTAACACAACGGAAACGAATAATCTCAAGCTCGTGACGAGCGCGTTTCCCATTCAACGATTAAAACCGTGCCTTCTTTCGCCCACAGAAATATTTAATTTACGCTTCCCCTGTGAGAATTCGCACAATTAGATCGTGAAATTGCCAATTTTGGAATACATGAATATTTGTCCTTTCTGTAACAACTTCTTTCTCGTTATTAATTATTTCTTTTTTTTCAGAAGTGAAAAACGAATTTGGAATATCGTTTCCTGTACGAGTGAAATATTAGGTTAGTTTTCGAGGAGAAAATTCCACCAATAAGTTAAATGATATTATCGGTGCTTCGACTTTTTCACTTTTACCATTAAAAGATATATTTTCTTCTTACTAGATAATTTTAATTAAAAAAAAAATAACTAAACGCACGTACAAACGTCCATGAAGATAAGTTAAAATCTCATTTGAACAAATAATTAACCGCAACGGCCAAGGTTGTACAAAGAGTTATACCAGGTCGTGTAACACACCGTTGTTGCACAAAGTTGCAAAATTTTAGAATAAATGACAATCAACCGCGACTCGTTAACTCTACTTACCTAACCTACATTTCCTTTCTGTAATAACTTCTTTTTCGCTATTAATTTTAACTGTTTTTTCAAAAGTGAAAGAAGTTGGAATACTGTTCCCGTACGAAGCGTATCGAAATATTAGGTTAGCTTTCGAGAAGAAGATTCCATCGATGAAAGGACCGTTCGATGGTGATTTCAAAAATTCGGGTCCGAGAACAAGAATCTTGAAAACGAGCCCCGGGGTAGATCGAAATCCATATTAAACGAGAATAAAACGAAAGTGGAGACAGAGTCAAAGTGGACGATGTATCTAAAACGACGGTTTTCGCGCATTCGAATGAAGCCTAAACTAAAGCGAAGAAATTGGAAAAGCGACGCCAATCGGCGAAGAATCGAAAGTTGCGGCGCTTCGAAGCGTGGTCATCGCGCGAACCTCTAAACGACACGAGTCCACTCTGGAATAGAATTACAAGTTGTGACGAATACCGGACGACGGTATCGAACGCCAATGAAAATCCTGAAACGAATGGCGAAAAATTCTTCTGTGAAGCGAGAATCAAAATATAACATTCGACACTTTAATTCATCGGTTGGGGAAAAGATAAATCCATCAAGAATTAAATTAAACACGCATCGAGATACGAATCTATCTCGTTCTCGAAGAAGAGAAAGAAAAAGAAGAAGAAGAAAAACATTGGCCGCGGTTGAGCGGAGTGGGGGAAAAGAAACTAGAAGCGAGCGAGCTCGACTCCTCGACGAGTTTAAACGCAAACAGACGGGTTAGGATAGGTTCGCATTCGCAGAGGAGATATTATTAAAAGTTGAGAAAGGGGACGGCGCACAATGGGAGACAAATTGGAGGCGGTGAGGCGGGCGTTGAATTATTGGAGGCGACGGTGCAGGAAGGAAGGAAGGAAGGACGGAAGGAAGCTCGCGGTGAAAATTATACGTCGCTTCCGCTGTTTCCCCAGCCGTGGAAGGGGTTAAGGGTTAATAAGACGCTTGTTTGCGGTTCGAGTGGATGCGCTCGAGTCGCGGGCATAATTCAACGTCGGCCTGGTCGGCCGTGAGAGCCGTGGTCGGCCATTACGGGTGCAACAATGTGCTCGCGTGCCGCCCAGTCTCGAAATGTCAGACGGACGTGACGCGGACCGATGGGGGGGTGTAAAACGTGACCCAGAACACGAAATCCAACCATCCTCTCGGCCACCATCCGAACCGTCGTTATATTAACGCCGTTGTACACGTTTTAATTCGACGTTTCTTCCATTTCCTTCCTCGAAACTTGGTCTTTCGTTAACGATCTGGATGCCGTGCCATCTCGTCGAACAGTTTCGAGCGAATTAAACCGATTCGCAAAAATATGAGAACAGTTGGAAAGTGTCCAACGGCTGTATCCAGTCCGAGGCGTTGATTAATTCCGAAGGAGGCGTGGTAAGAGAAACGCAGTGGTTTGATAGAGATAGCTTCGAATGGACGAATTCTTTGAGCGGTTTTTCTACGCTCTCGTCCTTTCCTCTCCTCAAACGGATAATTAGATCGATCGTAAATGAAAATGAAATTTACACAAAAATTAGCCGATGAATAATTGCCTCTCGTGGCCAATCCTCCCCCGTTTATCGTTGAATTTGTAAATATTTTACGAGAGATTAGAGAGAAAGGATATTCACAAACGAGGAGAAAATCGTTACTCGGCTGTCCTCCTCCAGTTAAGCACGCGAATAGAAAATCGCGTCACGAACAGAAATTGACAAAAGTTGCGTTAAACTCCTTCAAAACGACGAGAAGAATTAAGAGAAAGGGAGAAGAGTCTCTCTGTCTGTAAGCGTAAAAACGAACGAATGTGAGTAGAAGAAAAGGAAGAGAAGTGAGAGAAAAAGCTGGTCGAGAGGGAGTTGTTGCGCCTTTGCAGGACGCAATCTGATCCGATTAGATCGCGTGCAAACGCAACGTGCACACCGAGCTCGAATCTAACAGTTAATTACACGTGACAACAAGCACCGGTTAACTCGCCGATAAAATTCCAATTCCAATCCTCGAGTCGAGTTTTTCGATCTCGACGCTTCGATCCATGCATTGCCTTTCGCGATTGATTCGTTTTTCTTCTTCGAGATCGAAAAAAGAAAAAAAAAAGAAAAAGAGAAGAGGAGGGATGTTCTCGGTGGAGGGAAAAGACGTTTTTAAAAAGAATTTTGATGAATTTTGCTCGAGAGGGAGCCTCCCCATCTTTATCCTTTAAAGCGGGCGAGAATTAATATGGAGATGAAATTGGCGCGCGCCACGAGTGCAGGAATTCTGCGTGAATTTGAATTAAAGAAGAATGCCAAGTTTTCGTTGCGAGTTTTAATTAACTTCAAGGATATTAATTTATATATATATATCTCCTCGAGAGAGGTCTCTTTGAGAGAGAGAAAATGGATCGATCGATAACGAAAATGAATAACACGATTTTCTTTTCTTCGATTTCGGTTGTTGTTCTTTTCTCGTTTATACGTATAAAAGAAACAATATTTTCAAACGCCTCCTCCTATATTCGTGTATTACTTATAATTAATATTAAAGTTAATATTAAAATCGTATCTGCATTTTCTCGTTCGACTTTCGAAAATTATTTTAATCGAGGAATGAAGAAAAATTCGTTTCGACTCGAATCTTTGGTGAAAGATAAATAGATAAATGAATGAACGAATCACGAGTAAACGTACGAAAATAACACGTTAAATTCGGCCATTATGAAAATTTATATATATATATATATATATCTCGTCTCTTTTACTTTTTTTTTTTATCGACAAGAATTATGGAAGGAAAAAGAAAAATACGATATTGACGAGATACGGTACGTAATTTATTTACGCTTCATCGATTACGTTGCAGTTACGTTCCCGTCGATTTTAATCAAAATTGGCGCGATCGGCCGGCACGTTGTAAACAGAAACGGAAAACTGACCTACATTTCCGTGGGAAAACTGTAATGACTTAACGTAATAATCCTGTTAATAACGAGACGAGATGAGGGAAATCACATTCGATAACATTTAATATCGAGTGTATCGAGCTTCGAACGTCCAAACGATCGATGATCCCCGCGTGTAAATGCAAAAAGAAAAAAAAAAAAATAGAAATATTCGTTTCGAAAAAAAAAAATCTCTTCTAAAATAAAAAATGTTCGAACGAATAAAAATCGAATTTCTCGAAAATTAATCGAGCACAGGATTCTTCGAACGATTTTAAATTAAAAATTGATTCTTTTGTAATCGATTTCCTCGTTATTCAAATAAATCGATAATGGTGACCACTTTCTGTAATTTGTAATGATCGTTGATCGGTAATTTTCCAAATCATTCGATGATCGTCCTAGCTTTATATACGATTTACAAAGTTTTCTTTAATATTGCCATATATTTCTTTATTATTCGCCTTTTGTTCAGAGGCTATAAACATGATAAAACGCACTCAAAAACGCGCAAAAATTATCAGATAAAACGTTGGAAAATGCGAGTTGTGTTAAAAGCGAGTTACACTAAAAATAAATAAGTAATGACTCGTTATAAGGTGACTTTTCTATGTGAAACTATATAAAAAAAATATATATATATTTTTAAAAAATGTGTTCACAGCGAAAGCACGGATTAAATCATAATTAAAAATTGTTTTGTATTAATAATTAATAAAGGAATCAGAAACATCGATTACAACAACTTCCGATTCCTTTCTTATTATTATCAACGATTACTGATTATTTAGCGATCATTAGCCACGATTAATAATTGGATTTTATATTCGATATCGATCGGATTACGTTTCGGTGAAAATTTTACTTACACGAATTTTACCCGGACCCAGCCTCGCGAGCTTAGCTTCCTTCGGTTTGGCAAGGCTCCTGGAAACAAGAAAAGAAAAAATTAAAGAAAAACTTCTCTCAAAGTGACGGAGTCGTCTTTTTACGTCGTCTTTTTACCTTCTTTCCAAAACGAACGATCGTTAAACGCTCGTGGCACGCGCGTAATTTTCAGACATCGTCGAAATATTTTGCTCATTTGTGGCGAGAAACGAGATAAAATGAACGCACACACGTGCACACTGATACAAAGTATGGGAAGAAAAAGTTATACGTATTTCCACGAACGCGTCACCGCTTTTTTCGTTGCTATTCGTTAACGACCTCCTCGAATAAAAAAGCCTATTAACCGTCTACCGATCGACAAGCATCGAAAAGTTTGTCCAACGGACAAAACTCGTCGAAGACGCGAATTATATTTAAAAAAGAGGATGGTAATTTTCCATTATTCTCTCCATCCCGTTCCATTCTCCAATTCCACTCGTCCTAAAAAAAAAAAAAAGATACCACGACGAAAAAAGAAAGACAGAAATAAAGGAATAATCCTAAGGAATCGATCCTGAACGAAAATCCCGTCAAGCACGGAGGAAAGGCGTGCGTGCGATCTGGAAAGAGGCGGAAACGGGACGCGTCCCCTCGGGGGTCACGTTCCAAGCGCGTGGACGAGGACGGCCGTCGTAAACGGTTGTCGACTTCCTCGGTGTGCAACTTTTCTCCCGCGTCCCGAACCGTGCACTTATCAGCGTATAGCTGGCGAGCACAGAGAAATTACGACGCGGATACGGGGCGAGTAACCGGGGGCTAGACATTCCCTCGGTTCGACTCCTCCTTCTCCCGTTTTCTTCTCCAGCTCGAGGACGCGCTGTGTAACGAGAAAAACGACGGAAGCTCGCTTCTCGCAAGAAACGAGAAACTTCTTCGCCGAGGGAAAAAAAAAAATGGTTTGCGCCGTATTCACGCGTATCTCTGTTTTTTTAACGCGATATAATCGTGGCGATATAAATATGGAATATCGATCATATTCTCTTTTATTTATTCAAGAAACGAAATTATCTTCGAATTTTTCTTTTTTAATTTGTGAAACGAATCGATTTTCGATTATTAGGAAACGAATTATCTTCGGATTTTTTTTTTTTTGAATTTTTTAAAATTTGTAAAGTGATCAATTTTCGATTTTCTGAATATTTTCAATTAATTCTCCGATTGTTAAGAAACGAATTTTTTAAAATTTGTAAAATAGTCGATTTTCGATCTATTCATTTAGAATTCTTCGTCCTTTGAGCAACGTTCGATTTTTATTTTTTTCCCGTCACACTCGAATTAATGGATGTGGACGCGCGCGTTTACAGCTCCGCTTCCGTAGAAGGGCGGATGCAGGGCTGGGATCCGGAAGTGGATATTCGCGGGATGGCTGGTTGAAGCGATTTCCAAAACTGATCGCGATTTAAGCGAGTGGTCAATTTTCAGGAATAATGTAGAGCAAGATGTAGGGGAATATCGATCGCCGCGAGACCTTTTTCATCAAATATTCCGTGAATTTCGATGAAAAGCGAATTACAGATCCCCTTCCCCCCGTTCAAACGTGTAATCGAAGCACAAAAGTAAAATTTCGAGCAAAGATATCTTCAGAAATTAGTTTACTTTTAATTAAAAAGTTCTTTGATCTATCCAGCGTGTTGGATTTACCGGATATCTGGAATGTAAATATCCGTTATGACGTTTCCACGTTAATTGCTTGCCTACGCCGTGTTTAACTTTATTTTCAATACGGATATTGTAAAACATTTGCGTACCAGCGACTAAGTTATCCCTCTCCTCCTTTCCATTATCGTGAAAAACAAAATTGCAAATATCGTTCGAATTTTTCCTTCCCGAACGAGTTCGACGTATCTCTTCCTACTATTATTTTACATAACAAAAGATCCTTGCAAATATTATCGACTTCTGTGATCGATTATCGCGTAAAGAACAAACTGAAAGGAAAGAAGACAAATCGTAACGTATTAACGAATCTTCCAAAAAGATTCTTCCTAACTTCTATTTGATCGCGTAAAAACAAAGTAAAAAGAAAGAAAACGAGTCGTAACACCACGCATCTTTTCCAAAAAGATTCTTCGATTTCATTTTCCTTTATTTTATTTTACGTGAGCATAGCAAATTATCCTCGATTCGTTTTCTTATTATATATTACGCAAAAATATCCACCATTCTTTTCCGTTCAATCAATCAAATAAAGACAAACTAGAAAAAAGTAAACCACGACACACGTGTATCACGAATTCTCCAAAAAAAAACATGCCTCTTTCACATTTATTTCGCACTTTCGAAACATCGACCGAGAATAAAAGAATTGTTCGATTTTGCCGTTATCTTATTAGATCTAGAAGGATCTCCATGTCGATGGTACGTCGAGAATAGAAGAATAGCGAACGCCCTCTTGTCCAATATAATAATCGGGACAGCGTTCTCTCGAAGCGTTCGCGAACGCGTCTCCGGGGTACGAGGAATGTCACGTGGGCCGCTTAGTTAGTGGACGACGAGCCATAAAACTGGACGCAGAGTGGGGGAAAGATGATATCTGCTCCCCCCTGGTGGCGAGTCCCAAGACTAAGGCCGCGTTCGTTTCCGCGTTCGTTTACGAACGCGAAATTGCCTCGTTTCGTATAATCGAGAAACAAATGGCCGGTTAAACCGAGGGATAATATCCGTGGCCCGGCTAATTTTCGATCCGTTCTTCCGCTATCGCGCCAATTTCATTTCCCTTTGTGCGCTTAATCGGCCAATTTCGCCGGATTAAAGTCGGCCGCGAGTCCTCTTCTCTTTGGAGGGAGAAATCTATCCAGGAAGAAAATTTTGGGCTTCGAAGCAGGCGGTGATTCGCGATTCTCACGATACGCGGAATGGGAATGGAGATCGCGTGCGAGGCTTCGTTTCTATCGAATCGGGATTGAAAATTTCGTCGAAATTTTACCGGTGAAATTGACTATGTTTCCCTGTGTGAACCAACGTTCGATTAGATTAGATTAGAAGATTATTGTTCCCTTCGTTATTATATATACGAATGGAATAGAAACGATTAGTTTATATTCGTTAATATCGAGAAGCAACTAATTCCACTTGTTGAAGAATCAACTTTTTCTCTTTTTATTGAAGATTATTATTGCACGTGAGAAAATAAGCAACTGGTAATTCCACTTGTTGAAAATTAACTAACTTTCTCTCGTCGATAAAAGATTGTTACTCTAAATATTCTAGAAAAATGTAATAAGAATTCGAGTAGAAACAATTAGTAAATAACTAACTCCACTTGTCGAAAATTTTTCTAATTTGCGAAAAATTTGCTCGAAGAAACAACGGAGACAGAATATTTCCAGATTGTTTCCCACTCGTTTCGTGGAAATATACAATTTGAACGTGAATTCATTTCGCTCGAACGAACGTCGTTCACACTTTCCAACGAATCGAGACTTCGCGATCAAAAAACAGAGAATGAAAGGAGAACAGAAGGAATTGCTTGAAAACAATACAAAATCGTATAATTTTTTAAAATTTTATCGTACACATTTTCCTACCCTTAATAAACTTTCTAAATTGCTTTCCAAATTCGTTGAATCATTTTTTTTTTTTTTTCACGCATAAGCATCTGCAACTATTCGAATAATACATTATTTTTATACGAATCGTTGCGATTTTTCGACGCACGAAAGTATTTGCAACAACGAACAATCTTTACAAAATCTCGACAATTCCTTTTTCGATTATTCAATCTTCCCTTGAAAACCGAATTATCGAATTCTGAAGATTTTGCAATTTAAAATTTTCCACGATAACGCAGTTGATAAATTTAAAAAAAGAAGTATTAAAAAAATACGTATCAATACTCTGCAAAGACTAACGAAATTTATTCACAAATACGTCAAATAAAAGGCAAAAGAAAAGAAGAGAGATCGGCGAAGCGATATCTGCGCGGAATAATTGCGCGCATTGGTTTTTTAACCAGGAAAAAAAAACCAGGGTCGAATTAAAAGCTGGCGCCGCGGAAGAAGGCATGAACAACAAGTTAAATATTATCGCGGAGACAAGGGTGTGCGTGTGTGTGTGCGCGCGCGCGGCGAGTGGCCGCGGTGTGAATGGGGCAGAGCCGCGAGAGAGGGCCGGACTCTATTTAAACATTCATCGAGCGTAAACGGTCGGTGGACTCGGTTCAAATCCACGCAAAATACACGAGCGGTGGTGGAAAACGAGGAGAAATAATACGGCCGTTGGAATTATCCCGGCAAAAATGCGCAACCGGGACAGTCTCGGCCACCAGCCACCATTTTCCAAAGAATCTCCCTCGAGGAGGAGGAGGAGAGAAAATCCCTCGCAATTGGAACAACGATTTTCCTTCCAGTTTTCGAAGATTAAGAGAAGGGAGTGATTTTTCAAATTGGAGGATTTGTGGTGCTCGAAGCTTGGCCGGTGTCCTTCTTTTATTCCCAAATTTCGCTTATTCGATGTTACTATCGAGAGTAGTAAAGTGATTAGACTGAACGGAAAGGCGATTAAGACAACAGCTCGTAGGAATTTCGATTTCTCTTCCCCTATTTTTATTCACAAATTTGCACTTATTCGAATAAATAACGCGATACTTTGGATACAGTTTTCGAGATCGAGAGGATGATAGTAAAATTTTAAAAAAGATGATTGTTATATACATATTCGCGTAAGTATTTTACATACTTTAAATTTGAAATTCTATAAATGTAAATACCTGGCGTATTAAGTGGAAATACGGTGATTAACAATTCGCAAGAACTCCAACTAGCCGACATCCCTCGCCCCCCTACTTTATTCTCGAATTTAGACATCGCACGGCTCTTGCCACCACGACGGTGGTTCCGACGGCCATAATCGGGTGAGCTTGTTTGCACACCGTTGTACAGCACGTGTCATAAGTTTCACGGAATTTCTCTCCTGTGTAACTGTACGTTTCACGGTGTGGTCGAGTCGCGATTATCCTCCAGCCGGATAAACCGAACTGGTTTTAAATAACGTCGAAC